TAGATAATGTACTGAAATATGAGGCACAGATGTGGATGTGGTAGAAAATAACAACCGTTTTCACTCAGAAATACAAGTAAATACCAGGTGAAATTTATTACTGGCCCTTACATACATTGCTGTTGGGAATTTTCACATTGATGTGCAAGATTTTCTTCTGTTTTTGTTTTGTTTTTTGTTTTGACCTTTTGAACTAGAAAAAATTTTTTAAAACCATTCTTATTCAGTAAATCACTTGTCTCAAGTACATACTTGTCTCTTCTTGGGGAAAAAAATTGTGCAAATACCAATATATAACCTGGAAATGTTCTATTTTTTCACATACTGTCTTTTTTTTCTCTAAAATATGCATTTATAAGAGATACTTGCAAGGTATTATGAGAATCACAGAGAAAATTTTAAATAAAGAGACCCTTTGAATTGAAGATTGAAATGTTACTGTATTTTTCCAATTAATTAACTTCCTAATTGTTAGGTCTCTAAAATGCTGTCAGACAACACCTTGACCTAAATCCTAACTTGTGCCAGATAAATTCAGTGACTGTTTCTTTAGCCACTACTATATAATATTTTTAGTAATTTCTGTTCTGCCCATTTAACACATTCCCGCCAGTGTGAATCTCCTGGTGGTACCTGCTTGACTGTCCCATCTGGCTGCTTGTACCACTGATGCTACAAACAGATCTAATTTTTTAATAGTCTTTTTAGCAATGAGACATACAAATTAGGGCCCTGTCATAAATTCTAGTGTGTTCCTAAAAACTCCTAAGCATTTTATATACTGAAAAAATTAGCCTGTAGACTGTAGATACCAGTATTCAGTTCTGTGTAACAGAGCCATGCCATTTTACTACTAAAAGAGTGTTTTGCACAGACTGACTTACTAAATGCAGGTTTTTAAGTTACTGATTTGTTAAATTTTTTCTGTTAATCTACTTTTGGCTATTAAATATAAATTGATGTTGACCAATTAAAATGTATAAAGGGCTGGGGATATAGCTCAGTGGCACAGTGCCTGCCTGGCAAGCGTATGATCATGAGTTTGATTCCCTGAACCCTCCCAATTTTTTTTAAATCACTTACTGTACTTCTTAACATCATGTTGGGTGGCCTCTTAAAGCAGCGCCTACGTGTAGCTGAGCCAGTACCAGGACCGGAACTTTTGCTGTGTCAATGAAGAACAAGAAAAATTACTGAAGAAAAGTTACACGTTGTAGGTCGGAAACCTTTCTTTTTACACAATTGAAGAACAAGTTTATGAACTCTTAAGTAAAAGTAGTGACAGTAAGGGCCAGGGATTTAGCTCAGTGGCATTAAGTGTTTGCCTGGCAAGTGTGAGGTCGTGAGTTTGATCCCCGGTACCGCAAAAAAAAAAAAAAAAAAAAAGTAGTGACATAAAGATCATCATCATGGGTTTGGATAAAATAAAGAAAACAGCATGTGGCTTCTTTTGTTTGTGGAATACTACTCAAACCCCATGTGGAAAATACCGTGCGTTTCATAAACGGAACCTGTCTGGACAGCAGGATCATTCGCACAGACTGGAATAAAGTTAACAGGAGAGCGGGCAGTATGGGCGCGGGTGGTCTGGAGGCCAGCTTTGGTTGAGTATGGGTAGGACTATGACACTGGAAGAGGAGGCTATGGCAAAATACACAAAAGCAGTGTTAGTGGTGAGAGCCCTGCCTGTGCAGATTCCCTCCTTCCATCTGCTGAAAAACTTAACAGAACCATTTTCTGGTACCAGATCAAAAACTGTGTTCCTTGTGGCTGAGAGCAGGGTTCAGAAATGAAGCAAACAGAAATGTGTTCCTCAGCAGTAGATTCAGCTAAAAATCTACACTTCTAGGAAGACTAGAAAAATGCAAGAATTCATTTTCTTGATTCTTGGGTCTAAGGAGGCTCATGATCTACCCTGGAATGTGGAACAGTTCTTTTTTTAAATTTGAAGTTTACATAATGTAAAGTTCTTTATGATAAAATGGAGTTTTAATGTGTTAGATAACTTTACTGTAAATTAGGACATCTTTGACAACTGGATATGTTTTCTGAGTTGATTTCTAATCTCTAAAGGCAAACTTGGATCTTCCTAAATATTTGGCACAAAAACCTGAGGTCTCAGAGACTCTCCCCACTTCTGTGCTTTACTTTCAGAAAACTAGGTACAGGCCTTGAGTTCTGCTTAATACATTTTTCAAAATATACAATGTTTTGCCTAAAGCTAAAAAAGAAAAAGTCTGACATGGAGATAAAGAATTTATTTTGCATTTATAAAGCAATAGATGATTTCTTATATGAGTATGATTTTCTCTAATTAGAAAAAAATGTTTTCATCTAGCAACAGAGCATTTTCTAACATCCAGTAGTATGTGATGATTTGAGTTGGAATACTATACTGTGAATATCCCTCATATTAGAATAAAATGTGATTATCTGCTTCAATTCAAAACTGGTTATTGGAGTTTTTTAAAAAGCTATTATCAGTTGTGAAGTAGGAAGAAACCATTTACAGACATTTACTGAGGATACACTATTCATTTGTAGACATTTGTTTTTATTCTGTATTTTGAGCTAATGTAATTTATATTCTTCTGTAGTAAGACATAAATCAGATTTCTAAAGACCTTAAAACCAAAGACACTCATTGTTATCTAAACTATCTTTTGTGGCCTGGCAAGGCAAGGTGAGAGTTCTATTTTTGATCCCCCCCAAAAAAATTATCTCTTGTAGCAGATTACAATAAAATTGAATCAATTTACAAAGAAAGAAAAATGCATAAAGGTGGAGCGAATGACTGTAAAAAGTAATGCAAATGGAAGATATATCAGCAAAGGACTACATACTCTTCACTTAGCTCTTCATAGAACTTAACTGTTTCTTCCCATGCTTACCATATTACTCTTCTTAGCATTCTTAGCATGTCTTACTATTTAGTCCAATCACTTGTTTCCTGCTCAGAAATGTTATTTCTTTAAGAACTTCTATCTTACTCTTGCTTCCCTTTCCAAACCTCAATCACTCATTCTTCATCCCCACCACTCCCTGTGAAGCCTCCCATGATTCTCTTGGCTTCCTCCTCACTGATAAATTAATTCCTTCTGTATACCTTTGAGAAACAATAGAGACACCTACATTGATCGTTTCACCTTTGTATCCTTATCATTAAATTGTTTTATTTTTTGTTAGCTTCCTCAGAGCAAAAACCCATATGCTTAGAATAGTACCTAACATATATATAGGTTCTTAATAAATGGTCTTTGTTGAAGAAATGAGTGGAATAAAGAAAAATATTTAGGAGAGAGTGTGTGTGTTCAATTTTTAAGGTACTAAGTGAAAAATTTTCTTGTATCAGTGTTTATGTACGCTATTCTATTGGTTGTCCTATTTCCTTTCTCATTATAGTGGTTGCTCTTGATAGTGGTTGCTTTGTCAGGGAAATTCCCTGTCTAAACACTGCTTAGTAGACTTTTAACGTATAAAATTACAGTCTGTTCTTCTGTAAGAGGTCACATTGCTTAGAATTTTCAAGGATCTATAAAGATTACCAGTTCTTCGCTAAGAATGCATAGTTTATCCAGCTGACCTGGGCATCAGTTTGCTTTCTATCCCTTTCCCAATCCTCAATTATAGTGCACTGTAGGATTTGGAGTTTACGCAATAGCTTTGGAACTACTATTCTCAGTTCCACCCATTGGGTCAGTTTCTAAAAGACCTGAAACTTTACAAAAGCTGTTAAAGCTGTTACTTCTATCCATGAACAGGACTTTCAATGTGGTTTGTAACCAGAAACTGAGAATAAAGAACCTTTGGGTAATGTGCTGATAATTACTTGAAAGTACGAGGGTGAGAAGGATGTTGAAAGAAAGAATAAAACTCAGAAAACAGAGCAACACGAAAGAGTTTAAAGAAAGGGAAAAAGGCAAGGTGACTATTACTTTGTTTGCTAGAAATGAGTCATAACTGAGCATAGAATTAGTGCTAGTAATGTATCTGTATTGAGGTTTGGAAACTACATTTTCTGGAGAAAAATAACACATGATCAACAACCTGAGTCATTGCCTCTAGTGTTATTTTTTAAAAATCCTAAAGCTCCATAAGATCCACACAGAAATCATTTTCCTCTGTATTATTATATAGACAATGCTACCATTCCTCAAACACCAATACATTTAATATAATAAAAATTGATATACTGAGTATCTTTAAAAGATCTTCAGAAGTGGGGTGTGGGTGGTGCACATCCATAATCTCTGCACTTTGGAGGTTGGGGCAGGAGGATGGCCAGAAGTTTGAAGCCAGCCTGCAATACAGAGCAAGACCCTATCCCCCCAAAAACAATAATTAATTAATAATCTTCATAGTAAATCAGATATATACCTAAAGATAGTCTATAAATAATTGTTGAAAGGTATACTGAAGAAACAAATGATACTTTCCACAAAAGAATCCTGTAAACATCCATGGATGTGGCTAAAGGGCTAATAATTATCAGCCCTTTTTTGAAACAGAGTAATTTACATGTATAGTCTTAATCCTTAAAACACTGTAAGACATGAATTGTCTCTTTTATGATAGAAGATACTAAAGAAAAATACTCTCAAAAGCTTGTTCAGATGAGACAACAGTGCACTTAGGATTTGAATATAGATTTGGAAACTGATTCAGAGCTCTTAGTCTTTACCTTTATGTTGTCCATATGTAGGGAATATCTGTATACTTTACATGCCAAACAGTGTACTAGATTTTCTATAGAATTCATACATTTTAACAGAACTAAGGTTACCTGATGACTATAAAATAAAGTCATCATTACTGCTATTCTAGAATAGATCAGTTACCACTGGGGCAAAAAAACAGTTCATACGCAGTTGCTTACAAACCTAGAACACAATTATTTGTATGTCTAGAATTGCTTGAATTTGAGTTTGCCTTTTATTTATTGATTCAGTTTCCTAGCACTTATTGAAAGTCTTGTTTTATTTATTTTTTAATCATAACAGTTCACAGAAGAAAAGCTTGGCCAAGCAGAGAAGACAGAATTGGATGCTCACTTAGAGAACCTCCTTAGCAAAGCTGAATGTACCAAAATATGGACAGAAAAAATAATGAAACAAACCGAGATATTATTGCAGCCTAATCCAAGTAAGAAACATTACCGTTTATCCACATTAAGTACTGTTAATGAGTTTTTAAATGTTAAAAATGGACTTTATTGTGGCTTCAAGATCTGTGGTATTTTTTTATATATGCTTTGGGTGGAGAAATGATAAATACTTGTGTGTCTTCTAACAAATTCACAAAATAGCATTTCTCTTTGTAGAATCCTCTTAAAACTTTTTTGTTTTTAATTCTCCTAAAACTTTTAACTGTAGGCAGTGAATTTGAATTTTAAGAGTTTTGAGGGACCGAAAAGATAAATCTTTCTTTTTCATCTAGAGAAAAATCACTCCTAAATAATTAAGGCATGGCTAATATAGAAGCTTAAATAGCTACCAGTTTTTATGTTTTAAGTTTCACATTTTCATTAAATTGTACCATTTGGTTTTCCAACAGATGTGAGAGTTTTCCTATCACTTAAGTCAGTAACTTTGCAAATAAAATGTATAATTATTGGATAAAATTCGCAAAATTCAAAAATAAAGGACAAACATGTATGCTTTCCTTTTTTTTGCTGTTATAACTATGTTGCAAAATTTTATAACTTTAGTACTAACAAAGCTTTAATTGCTATAAAATATTAGTAATTATGTACCATTTTAGTTGTTGGAGTAACCTTCTAAATAAGCCTTCCATACCTTGTGTGAGACTTCTTAACTTTGGACACCATGTGATATTTCTCACTTACTTATATAGCATAGCCAAGTGCAGTGACTCACACCTATAATCCCAGCACTCGGGGGACTGAGGCAGGAGGATTTCTATGAGTTCAAGATCCTGACTCAATAAATTAATTAATTAAAAAATAGCATCACACTTTTCAAAAATAGTAGATATTTTTCCTCCTATTCTTCCTCTAGCCAAAAGTTCTCATATATAGAATCTTTTCTATAGTTTTTCTGATTAGCAAATAAGCTCATTCATGACAGGTTGATAAAGGAGTATAATATAATTCCATATAATAGAATATGTATATGGTAAGATAGTAAGAGGTTTTTTTTGTTTTTATTTGTGCCATTATTATAAAGTTACATGAATTTTGAATGGTCAGACTGAGGCTTATTTTCTTGTAAGTCCTATTGTTTTTACTGTTATCAGAAGTGTTACATGTAAGTACATACATGTTACATTAGCAGAGTTAGCTGCCTATTTTATGACCTATTGAAACAAAACACTTAATTATTAATTTACCAAACATTAACACAATGAAATAAATTTATGATTCATATTTATATCTTTGACCTCATATTATAATCTGTGTGAGATGCTTACAAAGAACCTATTTGACTTACCTTGTTTGAGAATTGTAGTTTTAATTTATATTTAGTCGTGGTTTCTGGAAATGTGAGCTATTTTTAGCTCTCCCTGGAATACCTTGCTGTTGGGCAGCAATGTAAATTTGAATTTTATTTCTTTTTTTAAAATTTGTTTCATGTTAAATATTACCCTAACCAAGACTATATTTGGCTTTTACTGATTTTTTCCCTTTCCATTTATACTGGTATTCTGTGATTGCCTTTATCCTTTTGCATTTTAATGTTACTTGTAATGGTAAAATTTTTTCAGTGAATGCGTGCTCAGAGACACCACCTACATATGTCTTTGAACTTTAAACATAAATAAACTGAAACCAGATCTTCTTATTGCTTATCTGTCTAGAGCCCACTCCAAGCCTGAATCTGTCTCTTAAGCTTCGGTGCCTATATTTAGACTCTCTGGCAAGAGGTGCTCCTGTTGAAGGTGTCAGATGTGACTCTTGAGTTCTTTATGTCCGTGTTTTCTCAGCTCAAAATCCCGAAGTTTGAAATTATGAATATGTATTCAGAGGTTAAAATTATAAAGTTAGGGCAAAGGCAATTTCACTAGATAATAAGTACTACCAATCATTTTTGAAACTTAAAATCCCTAAAATATTAAAATAATGAATTTAGCTTTATTTTAAAGTGTTTTTGTGCCAAGATATATTGTATCAGATTTCCAAAATACAAGTTTCTTAGAGCTGTATGGCATTCTTACATATAAGTTTTAAAAATAAATAGGGGCTGGGGATTTAGCTCAGCGACATAAGCACCTGCCTTGCAAGCAGGCGGTCATGAGTTCAATCCGCGGTACCGATAAAAAAATAAAAAATATATATAGAGAGAATTACATTCTTGAGTGAATGGGAATTTCATGTTTAGAAGGCAGTTTACGCCTGGAGGTCAGCAAAGCAGTCTTGTAGATAGTTTTGCTCTTTTGAAGTCACTGGTAATTTTAATCTTTCTCCTAGATGCTAGAATAGAAGAATTTGTTTATGAGAAACTGGATAGAAAAGCGCCAAGTCGTATAAACAACCCAGAACTTTTGGGACAGTATATGATTGATGCAGGGACTGAGTTTGGCCCAGGAACAGCTTATGGTAAGTGCAAAGCAAAAAGTTCTGATAAGAAGTATCTTACGTTAGATTTTTGCTACTTAGAGGTGTCATTAACATATAATAGAATCATTTTTAATTTTAAATTTATTATTTTAAAATTTTTAACAAAACTGAGAAATATAGGTGACCAATAAATTTGTACATTTTAATTTAATATATTTATTGAGAACATACATTTTCTTTAGTTCTAAAAGGTTGAGAATTTTTACCTATACTGCCATTGTTCTTGCAACATTTTTATTCTTTACACATGTCTCTCATGATTTTTGTAAAGCTTTCCTGAGGGCTATTTGTTTTCTATTAAAGGTACTTCATACACAATAAATGTTTGAACAAATCACTTGTATATTCATTAAAATAGTGCAAAAATGCCAATGCCCTCAAAAATTTCAGCGATGGTTCTTTCTAGATGTTCAAATTATATTTCATTTCCATTTTCCTGTTTTGTATTTCATGTTTTCTGTGATTATGTTTTATAAGTAAGCCAGTTTTACTTAGTTGCTATTCTTTTTAATGCATAACTCAGAAGTTGAAAGTTATACATCTTTATTACTGAGACTCATTTTCTTGTGAGACTATTTCAGATTTCTTTCACTGCCTTTCCCTGTTGTTCATGGCTAATTTGATTTATTAAGAATACTTAAAGAGGGGGCTGGAGGTTTAGCTCAGCAGCATAAGCACCTGCCTTGCAAGCAGGCAGTCGTGAGTTCGATCCCGGGTACCGATAAAAAGGAAAAAGACAAAAATAAAAGAATACTTAAAGAAATTTTTTCAAGTCTGAAAATACTCAGAATAAATTTGAAAGTCAAGAATTTTTAACTGTTAACTTTTCGGAAAACTTTTATGAATGTTTCATTTCCTGTTTGTGCTGAGGTCAACTATGAAGGTGACCCAGTCCTTTTCTTCACACAGCTGAAGGCCTGGTGGAGCATGAACATTAGAAAAACTTTTAGATTTTTCTTCTTTTTTTAATCTGCTTAGTATGTTTGCTCCTGAATATATCCTGATAACTAAAATTGGGCTTTGAGAACCATTAGTAGTAGAATTTAAGAGCTAAAAATTGAGTATTCCAGGCATTAAACTAAGCACTATACTGTGTATGCATGTGTGCAAATACATGTATTTTAGTAAATTATCACTTATATCTTGCTTATAATATAAAATTTTATCATCTCTGTTTTAGAGATAGGAGATTCAAAGTTGGAGAGGCTAAATAATTCATCCATGTTTCCACAGCTAGTAAATTCAAATTCAGATTTGCATGTATCTGGTGACAGAGCTCTTAACTACTATGCTATTTATTACCTTCCATACCAATCAGACCTAATCTGATTGTAATACGAAAGGCTTAAAATCTGCAGGGGTAGACTTAAAGTAGAACAAAGGTAAAGCCTAATCTTGAGATTCCTTTATTTTCACTCTTGCCTCTGCTTTGTCTACTGTGTTGTCTGGTTTAAATATCAGATATGCTTGTTGTAAAACGGGGGGTTTTCTTAAAAACTATTTATAGGTATAGTGTAAGTACATATAGAAACAGAAGACGAATTGTGACTTGACGCACTTGTCAAAATAGTAAGCTTCGTACTTTTCTAAATCTAGCCACCCTGGGCTGTGACCATAAATAATTTTTGACATATCTGTCCTCCTTAGTCTCATTGGTAGATTTGCCTGTTAACTGTGATGCAACAAGAAGTCATCTTGCTCTTTTTCATTTAAATATTTATCTTGAATTTGCTTTTAAATAAATCTACCTTAGTTACAGTTAATTCTGTCTAATTTTACTGAGATAAACAAGTAATAACTTTAAAGCAAATGAAACTGGTAATTTATCTTTATATAATTTTTAATTTTCTGACAGTATCATTTTTTTAAAAAACTTTTTCTTTGCAGGTAATGCCCTTATTAAATGTGGAGAAACGCAAAAACGAATTGGAACAGCTGACAGAGAACTGATTCAAACATCAGCCTTAAATTTTCTAACTCCTTTAAGAAATTTCATAGAAGGAGATTACAAAACAATTGCTGTGAGTTGGAGCATGTTACCTTTTTTAGTAAAATAATAGTGAATAATTTTGCTTCTTTAATGACTATAAATATAGCAGATTAGAAAATTGAAATATTTCTGGGTAGGTACACTTTAACCAGCACATAAAAATAGACCAAAAATAAAGGATCTTAATAACATAATTTCATTTTTGTGTTCTACAATGTTGAGGTACTGCATTCATTCTCAGTTGTTACCAACACTAAAATTATAGAGAAGTTCCTGAATGATAAAAATGTTACAAAATATGATAGGTAAAAACCTAATTATTAGAATGTATTTATTTGTGGCTCTTACACTTTATCTATTTCCAGAAATGTATTATCTTCTAACACTGCTGTTTTTTTACTGATAAGTATGTACTGTGCTTGATAAATTTCATCATCTATATTTATAGAAAGAAAGGAAACTACTACAAAATAAGAGACTGGACTTGGATGCTGCAAAAACCAGACTGAAAAAGGCAAAAGCTGCAGAAACTAGAAGTTCAGTAAGTAGTTTTTTTTCCTTGTTTCTTTTTGGTTCTTTTTCTTCTTCTTTTTGTTTTTTGTTTTGTTTTCTGATAGAAAAATATATTAGGTCAGTACTTTAAAATTTGTAAATATTTTAGTGATATACCATGTAAGATACAGACTGTGTTTAAGAATAGAGGGGCTGGGGAATTTAGCTCAGTAGCACAGTACCTGCCTGGCAAACATGAGGTCCTGAGTTTGAGTCCAAGTACCCCATCCCCACCCCCAAAAAAGAGCATTTGTTTTAGGGTCTTGTTTTTGTGGTTGCAAACAAATTCATCAGAATTTACACATCCAAGCCATGAAAAAGTTTTATCAAGAAACATTATTCATCAATACAGGTGCTACTAAAAAAAAAACAAAAATTAGATCTCCTAAAGCTGTGTCATGTTCTTTAAATATCATGAGTGGTGATAAAAATATGTCCTTTGAAGGGGGTGTATTATATTGGGAAACTGCAAAACCAGAGATACTAATTAGGATGTGAATGAATCAGATTTTTGAATATTTATATGTAGCTCAGAAATTAAATGCATTCCCTTTCCACATTTGACTCAAACTGATGAAAGGAATTGTCACTAGCAAGAATATTCAGCCAGTGACTGCAGGGACTCCTGGGTGACTATTTTGATGGGAAAGAAATACATCTGGATAAATTCTGGTATATTCTTTAGAAAGCATTCTTGGAGTAGTTTAAAACTGAGTAACTATATATTAAATATAATTCTATGATTTTATGTATAATTTCTTACAAGATTTTATATAGGCTTTTTAATTATTTCCATTTCAAAGATTGAAAACATTAATGAGGTTTTTTGGGCTTTTTTATTTGTTTGTTCTTTTGGGTTTTTTTGGTACTAGGGATTGAATGCACAACCTCACATGTACCAGGCAAGTGTCTGAGCCACTGAGCTAAATCCCCAGCCCACATTAATCAGATTTGAATTGGACCACTTATAAGATAGTGCAATATGAATAAATGTGTATTTGTTAATGGAAGCTAACAAATTCTTAATTTGATCAAAGAAATATGTTTTATTAAGAGGCGTAATAGTCCCACTGCCCTCTACTAATTTCCCTACTACTATCATCATCACGAAGCATAGTCTTAATACAGAATATAGGGAATGAAATATAAAGCTGACAGCTTGGTACTTGTGGTATCTTCTATTACCCCCACACCTTTTATGAGCAGAATAATTTTTTTTTTTAATAGGCTTCCCCTTTAGGAAGTTTCGTTTTTAGCTGCTGCTAGAAAAGGAGCTATCGATGGGCCTCAGCAGCATAGTGTCTTCCTGGCAAGCGTGAGGTCATGAGTTCAACTCCCAGACCAAAAAAACAGCAAAACAAAACAAAAAGCCAAAGAGCTATCATCAGTGAAACATTAATTCCAAATTTAGTATTAATTCCAGATTTAGTTTCGCTTCAGTTTATAGTGACATTATCAGCATAACTTCACTAAACAGACTCTGCAGAATTAAAATTTTAAAAATATTGTAGTTGTTAAAAAAAAAAAAAACCCTAATCTAACTTACTGTTTTCTAATCGTTAGTGAATTTGTACAGTAAAATACCAAAAGGGTAAATAAAAACCAAAATGTATAATAGGTAGTGAGAAAAAGGAATAAAGTGTTCAAATGGGAAGAGGGACAAGGAAGGGAGAAGGTGGAAAGGAAGAAAGGGAGAAGGAAAAAAGTGGAAACAAAGCTTTTGTAAATGAGGGAAAAGAGGGGTTGAAAGCAGAGGAGAAAGAGATTAGAGAGAAAAAAAAAGATCTGTCATGTCAGGTACAAATTCCCATGAAGGATGTGCTCACTGTGTGTAAAGCACACCAATAAAATTAATAATTAATGGTTAAAATATGAATTTTCTAATCAGGAAAAAAGATACAATTGAATTGGAAGTATCTGAATTAGAGTAGAATCTTATTTAAAATGACTGTGTGTGCTCAGTGATTATTGTGGAATAAAAATAAATTTCAGCACAAAACATTTGTTTACCAAGCATTGTTAAAGGATATTGGTAGTCTGTTCTACCTGGAAAAGGCCAGGAAGCACATAAATTTAACAGCATACAAAATCCTGTGATTATTCTGTTATAAACTATTTTACTGTGGACAAAGAAATTAGTCTACTTTGTGAAATTAGTTATTTTGTATAACTAAGAAGACGTTGGCCATTGTTTTGTGGTGTGTATTTTCCAGGACAGAATTTTGTTCATGGAAATCTATGTTTAAAATGATTCAAGTTAGCAATTTCATTGATATGCCTTTCTAGGATTTCTGTATACAGAAATTAATATTTATATAAAATACAAATTTTATAGCCAAATACTAAAGTACTAGTCTAAATAAAAACTTAAATTTCCTGATAAAAATATTCAAATTTTCCTTAGATAAAATATTCACATTTCTTGCTAGCAATGGTGGCAAATGTCTCCCCATATACTCTAGAGACTAAGACAACAGGATCAAAATTGAGGCCAGGCTAGGAAATTTAGCAATACCCTGTCTCAAAATAAAAGGGTGGAAATATATTTCAGTGGTACAGTGAAAGAAAATTTTCATTCCCTTACTGTTCTTCAAATTTTATAGTAGTAAGTCTGAACTAATTTGAATAGGTAAAGTCCTCTTACTTTATTACATAAAGCCTTACAGTGTACCTACATTTGGCTAAAACCCTTCTATATTATCTTCCATTTACTTGACAAATACAGAATAGAAGTAAATCAGATTCACAAGATTATCGGATAGTTTATCTTATATGAGAAGCCTAAAGTAGAACTAATTTAAAGAGCAAACTAAAGAATGGATAATAAAGACCTGGGATTTAGCTCAGTGGCATAAGCATCTGCTTGGCAAGCATAAGGTCATGAGTTCAATCCCTGGTACCAAAAAAAAAAAAAAAAAAAGAATGGAGAATAGGAAAGAGGGAGACAGATACTTTGCAATTCAGAATGGAATTTAGAGGAGGAGGGGAAGAGAAAGGAAATTAAAAAGTATATATATATCCACTCCCCCTGTGAATACCATCATTATATACTGCACAATGTATGTATTAATAAAGAATTTAAAATTTCTTTTGTGTTTGTTTGAGGCTTGCTATGTATTTCAGAGTGGCCTTGTGCTCTTTATAGATAGCCCAGGCAGCCCTAGAACTCATGCCAGTCCTCCTGCCTCAGTCTCCCAAGTGCTGGGATTATGGGCATGCACCACCACACCTGGCTTAAAAATAAATAAATAAATTAATTAATTATAAAGCAACCACTGGGAGGTTGGGTTTGCTTCCCTACCCTACTCCCTTTATTTTTGAGAAAAGGTCTCATTACTAAGTTGCCCACTCTGGGTTCAAACTCAGGGATGATCCCACTTCAGCCTCCCAGGGTCTTGGCATTAAAAGTGTTTGCCACCACCCATGACTCTTTTTGATACATTTCTTGGTTCCCAGTTAAATCCAACCCTAGACTGGGACTGCACTGCTTTATAAATTGACATTAATTATTACGTGACTAGTACTAATAAAGTCTGGGACATGTGTTTATCAACAGTGTTTTAAAATTTATTTACTAGTTTGAGCTCTTTTTAAATTCTGTATTTGAGTGCTAATTATGTATCAGGTGCTCTATAAGAAAAAGTTCATAGGTAAACAATACAAAATCTTCACTATCTTCATCCACAATCCAGTGTAGTAAGTTAAACTTTTTTTTATGATTTAGTCGTATTGGTAAAATATCTGCCTGTATCCAGTTTTGCTGCACAGCTAACTTATGTTTTACATGTGAGCATGTTGGAGAATGGCAAAGCGATGTGAAAGCTATTTCTAGTACATCAGCTGAGCAAAAAAAACAGGAAGTGTACTTTTTTCAAAATGAATAAAAATACAGTTTTAAAAATAGTTTATAGATACAAAATGTCAGAGAAGGACAGAGTATAATTCATGCTTTTAAATTATGACACCTTTATTATCCCACTCTTACTTTAATATAAGCTTTTATTATTTTAGAGTTTAATTAATGGGAAGAAAATGGCTGGTTTTACAGTTCTCCAGTATGTAGAGATTTAGACTGATTTTGGAGCATCTAAATTTGACTGAAAATTCTTCTTCAAATACTTCACATAGCACATATTCTCAACACACTTCAAAAATGGTTTGAAGGGATTGTACAGGTTCAAAATAGAAATAGAAATTGTCTTCGAATAGGAGAACTGAAGATAGGTAGAGGGCTTTCCTGGATGGAAATGTAATGAAAATTTCAGTTAATTGGCAATAATGAGACTTCCCTAAAGGATTGTAAGTTAAAATTAAACATAACCATTTTTTGTTTTGAAAAGTGGAATCTTTATAAAGTATAAAAACATCAGCTTTTAAAAAAAAAAAACATCAGCTTTTAAATACTTGTTTAGTGTGTGCTTTATTGTGCAGAAGTAACTTTGTTTCACTGTGTTCATTGGTATAATGTGTTCTTTGTCTTTACTTATGCATTTAAGCAACTAAACTCAGCCCGCCTTGAAGGAGATAACATTATGGTAAATTTCTCTTACATGCTCAACTTCCTGCATGTAAAATGGCTGAAGGTTTGTTGGCCTACTGTGTTTTCTACATCTTGAAAAAAATGCCTTCTCTTGCTATTAGCTGTGTGTAAAATTGTTGAAGCTGTGAATTTATTTGTGTAGAGGAAAAAGTATTACCTGAAGTGCTGCTGAAACTTTAAAAATACCGTATATTTTTATTGCCAAATGTACTGATTATACCAACTATAGATTTTAGAATCAGAGATTTGTTGTACTACCTTTTTACACTCAGTAAAAAATGGAAAGCTGGCACTTCAGATTTTCGGTGGAAAAAACCCTCTTTAAAGAAACATAGAAGTGCACAAATTGATTTTTGCCTCTCAGTAGCTCTACTGTTTTACCTTTTTATTATCCAAACTCAATAAAGAATTATTTTCTTTGACCATTGTAGGCTGAGATAAGTTCCAGTAAGTTATGCTTGTAAGCAGCCAGACCCATTCCACTGCTAACCCAAAATGATGATAGTCTGCAGCAAAAATGAAAAATGAAAATCGTTTTATAGTATCTATGTGTATTTTGAGTTTGGTTTGAAGCAGTTTTTAATTTTAATGAAATATGAAGTTGTGAAATATAAACACAGATATGTAATTTGTATGTTAGCTGGTAAAAATTGGTAGTATCTGGAACTCATAAACATTACTGCCACTAAAAGTGACAAGAAGTCTTCAGTACAGTTAATAATAAATCAGCAATTAGTTGACTGCTTTTATTCCATTTGGATTGAACTAGGCCAGAAAAGTATTTTTTTTAAACTATAATTATTGAAGTCTTGGCTAAATCAGGGCTTTTCTTAGCAAAAGAATGCATTTATTTCCATTGTCCTGTGTATAGATAAATAAAAAGTGTGATTCATTGCTAATTTAGTGTACAAATCATGGATTTTATTTTGCCTTAGGTAAAAATATCCTAAATGGTTAGCAGGACTTTGTTTCATTCACCATGTGTTGTTTTACTACTGATGTCATCTGTTTATAGTAAGATATTTAACTGTGGTAATTTTAAATTAATTACATTTCAAGTTTACTGCTTTTTCCCAAAAATGGCTTTATCAGCTTCATTTATTGTCCTTTTATCCTTCATTTATTTTTATGTAGTAGAATTCTAGAATTTATACCCGAAGGAGAAATTAGAATTGTTATCCCACCCAAACCTCTAAATTAAATATTCCCAATTTGGGAAAACTTATTAGTTTACAAAATTAACATTTTAAAATTGATAGTACTGATACATACAAAAGGCATACTTTGACAATATGAATATGTTAAGCTGTACTAATTTAGTTGCTACAATGTTTAATCTGTTTGTATGATTCTGGAGAAAGCCAGAGTATGCCATTTGAATTAAAATTATTCTGTTTTTCTTTCCTAAATTGTGGAAAATGTTAAATCCCAACTTTCTTTCATACTTTATATTTTTTTCTAATTTTTAATGCTGGCTAGATTTGGGCAGAGGAAGTAACAAAAGTAAGTAAATTATTACATGACAGAATTATGAAACAATTTAATTGCCATTCATTTATTAAACATTTGTTGGGTGACAACTTTGAGACCAGTTGTGGTTTATGTTAGTTTTAAAATCCAAAATTATGGAAATACTTAGGGCTGTTTTACCAATAGCAGCTCCAAACAGTGTTGCAGAGACGTGATTAGCACATCAGATACCTGTTAATCAAATGGTAATCATATAGTGCCTTCCTACGAAACAGAAGAAATATGTGATTTATTCATTGATAGTTTTTTAAATGACAGATTTTTAAATGTGGTATAGTTAACATAACCAGAGCTTCTATCACCAAAGCTTTTTTTTCTGTCGTTTTAGCAGAAAATGTCTGTAAAAAATGTACTTTACTGCCATATTAAACACAGGATAGCAGGTATTTCATTTTACAGTTAACATCATTATCTTGAGTATCCCTTTTTGTATGATGTAACAATTGGATACATTGTTTTTGTCTTTTTCCCGCTGCATCAAACTGCTAACAGTCTCTCTACCATGTTACCATTTCTAATCTTCTCTGGCTTAGAAAATCAGGTGGTAAAGGAAGAATTTAAGAAATAAAATTATAAATTCAATGGAGATTTGCTACAAATGCTACTTTAGGTCTTTAGAAGCATTTTTCATTTATTCTCCATTTTTAAGGCCTATCAAAACCTGACTTCCAAAAGAGGATGATGCTGGAGATTGAGGGCAAGTGGTAATTATGGCCCCTGATTTTAATAGCTTTTTAAACTATTTTCTGACATTGTGGGATTGCTGAATGTACAATCTGTTTCATGCATAGGTTACTGAGCTACTGATTCTATGACTTGGAAATCTAGTATAACTCTTGACGTAGGTTCACATCCCCCTCTGTAATATTTGCATTAACTTATTATATGGTTCCACCTTGACTTCTGATTTATTTCTGAACCTCTACCATGAAAGAAAAGAGGGCAGAGCTACAAGGGAGAGAATGTAGTTTGAATGAAAATAACTGATTCTTCCCTTTAGTTGACATACATGTACACCCAAAAGTTTCTTACATGATTCTGCACCTTATACAAGTTTGGGAAATAATATAGTAAATCAAAGAAAGTAATGAAACAAATGTTTCTATTGTATAGATATGTAAAATATTAAGGAAATATGTCAAAATGAATTTGAAGAGATTTTTTTCTTAAAATTCATATCCCTAGAGTATTGTAACTGACAGCAGTTAAGATTGTTACAACAAATACTTCAAAAGTGTGACCAAAATTTCTCTTGCAGATATCCAGTCCTGTGGCTTCACAGAACAAAAAATTGCTGCACATTTTCCAAATTACATCTTAAACTGTTAGTGCTTACTTAATGTTGTACTATTTAGTCTAAATCAACTCGTCTAGTAACAGTAATTCTTGGTAATCCTAAGAACGCTATACGTTATTTATAAGGTTAAATCAGGGATTAAGATATTCTGGAGAACAGAATTGCAGCTGTTTAAATTGTCTTTACATCTTGCTCAGGATTAGGTCTATATAGTTCAGTGGCAGAGCACTTGCCTGCTGTGTTTGTTCACCACCACCACAAATGCACCTTCCTTATCTATCTTTCCAATATAGATTTTTTTTTTCCTGCATGAATCTAACTTAAATTTCCTCAGCTTCTCAGATTATGTCAATTGCATATGTGTGAAGTATAGTCAGTTTGGGACATTCAACTATGTTCTTAATCACTCCAAACAGCTACTAACATACTGAATTTTAGTCAAAGTTAGATGACTGACTTCATGCCCTTATTGAGATTATTGAATTTCATTTTTAGTCAGTGCTTTTAGCGTTAAAACCTTATTTCCAATTCAGTCTCAAGCTTCCTGCTCTCTTCAGCCTGCCGTCTACTTTTTTCCCCTCATGTTGATAAACATTGCTGTATAATGGGGGGTTTTGCCATTTTTACTAACAGCCATTAAATTAAATGGTACTTTCACAAAGAGACTAGCCTACTTTTCTTCGGAAACTCATTTATTTTGATTTGCTACAAATTCTCCTATTAAAATCATTTTGTATTCAGTCACATGGAAGGTTAGTAAATAGTGCAAAAGTAACAGACATTATTGGTTCCCCCGATGCTTTCCTTGTAAAGAACGTTGATTCTTTTCTTCTCCTGGTCCTTCTTTTTCTGTTTTGTTCTAGCTTCGAGAAGCTGACTTTAACCCTGCTAAAGTATTCTTGTTTTACTCAAATTTAACTTCAGTGCTTTTTTTTTCACTAAACAATTCAAACTCATGTTCATAAATCTAACAGTCAATTCTTGGCCTGTTGCCATCGGGATCTTATATCAGCTATCTGCTTTGTATTCTTTTCTCGACTAGCTTGACTAGTTAACTATTGCCATCCAAGGGAAAAGATGAAGTGTGAAATTTCACATTAAAATTCAGACTTTGTTGATCTTGAAAAATGATGTTAGATCTTTATAAATGATATAAATAATATTTACAAGGGGAAAAATCTACTTACACTAGAAAGATAGTAAAAAATGTCATCATAATGGCATTTTTACCAAAGATAATTGAACAGGGAGTTATTTTGAATGTGTTGTGAGTGAGGTTTTATTTTTTTCCTCTCTTTATTGCCAGTAAGTTCTAGTTAAAAGTTTTGAGAAGATGTTTTATGCCAGTAGTGACTATTTTTAGAGCTTGTTAATTTTTCTGTGAACTGTTTTGTCTCAATACTAAATGTATCAGGTGTTCAAAACCAGTGGTGGTATCATATTACATACATCTCTTTCCATCTGACACCAGCTCAGTGACTTGACATTGGCAGTCTGAAATTACCCGTGGCAGGAGTATTTTACCATGAAAATCAGGATGTTAGAGTGTTCCTCTTTTACTTGAGAACCAGTTGATCAGCATAACACTGACTGAAGGTCAATCATAACTTCTGAGAAAACATTTTAAGCCTTAATCATAATACACGATTTCTTCTTAAAGCCTATTTTATATGTTGTTTAGATAGAAAATTTTAAAAGAAGACATATAAAATTAAATGTATGACAAAGAAGTATTTGAAGGAACCAAAGAACTGTTCCTAACAGCAAGTGTCTGGTAACTAAAGAAAAGTAGAAATCCTATGGTGCCACTCTGAAGTCTTTTGAATCTGAAATTGAAAACTCTTGTTTAAAAACTGGTAATAACTGGGAATTTTAAGAATAACATATTTGTGAAACTGTGGTACACTTAAATTTTGTAAAATATCAAACTTGGCAGAATTGAAACTAGAAAATATTCTAACTGCCCATAGTAGACTTTCTAGGTTTTCTAGTTTAATAAATATGCCATTAAAGGTTGGCATTGGTAAATTCTTTTGAATCATGTGCTGGTAATGAATCAGGTCTTGTGAGGTTGAGTAATATAGCAAAATTAAGGAACAGTTTAGATGTCACAAATGCAGAATCAGGGAATTGCCAGATTATAATTTGAGATTTGTTTGAGGAATTTTTTTAACTGCCTAAAAGAATTTATATAAAATGGGCCGGGTCTTCCAAGAAGATTCTAAAACTGTGTCCTAATTTAAGTCTGAACAGGAATTAAGAATAACTCAAAGTGAGTTTGATCGTCAGGCTGAGATTACCAGACTTCTGCTAGAGGGAATCAGCAGTACACATGTGAGTATTTATTCATCAAAAATTCATTTGGAACAAAAGACTGGTCATTCTAAGGCAACTTGGAGTAAAGACTGAACTTCATTTTCAGTCATTATTAAGGAACCATAAATTATAGTGGTAAAGATGTGTGAAGAAATATTTTAAATTTTGCTTCCATGTTATCATCTACTTGTCCCACCCTTATTAAATACTCAGGTTAGTTTACATCAGCTAAACAAAGTTTGTTATTATACTGTTCACCAAGGTCAGTCTTAATAAGCCTTGTGGTAGGATGCCAGATACATGATTCTCCTTTATTTCAGTGTTATAGTTTGTCTCTAAACATACCAGTTTGAGAGCTAAGACCTGACTATAACTTTGCTTTACAGGCTCATCATCTTCGCTGTCTAAATGACTTTGTAGAAGCCCAGATGACTTACTATGCACAGTGTTACCAATACATGCTAGATCTCCAGAAACAACTGGGAAGGTAGTAATTTCCCTTTCACATATTGAAGTCTTAGATAAGATAAGAAATGAGAAACGCAGATATTTGCATATGGACTATTAACAAGGATGATTAGAAGAATTGGAGTCTTTGGAATTGGATAGAATTCAGTTTTGGTTTTTTCTAATAGAAATATCAAACTTCTGAGATAACAAAACATTTAGAGCTTTTCTGGATCACAAGGATATTAACAGGGACTGAAGGATAATTTAAGTGAATACCTTTTTTAGTGACATATAAAAAAAGCTTTTAGTGAGATTTTACTTTTCTATAACATAACTTTTTGCTGTTGCTCTTGAAGATAAACTAATGTATATATGTTGATTACAGTGGTACCTTGGTTTCATGAACTTGATTCTCTCCATGATTCTGGTTGCAAATTTAACTGAACCAAAACCTTAAAAAGTCAAATTTCCCCATAAGGTCAATATTGAACCTAACCATTGAATTTGATTTGGTTCTTATCCAACTCAGTTTACAACCAGAATCATAGAAAGAATCAAGTTCGTGAACTGAGGTATCACTGTACGTACTACTCAGTAAAGAGGAAAAAAAGTTTTCTAATATTCTCTTAAGAACTCAAGCCCACTGACACAATTATTCTGACTTTGGTAATACACTGTAAGCAAAATGACAGTGTATAAAGCACATAGCTCAGTCATTTTATACTCTGAAGTTATGTCTGCAGACAGACAAAATGCTTACCTTTGTGAAGCTCACATTGTAAGTTGGTACGAGAAATAACATACAGGGCAGGTATGATCTCTGCTTTCACAACATTTAAAGTCTAGGTGAGGATACAGCCATGGCTGAATAAGCAAAGGGCAAACTGTTGCAGGCAAATTAAAAAATTTATATAAAAACTGAAGGAAAAAGTGGCAGATTCAGAGAACTGACAGTAAGTAGTTCTTCTGGTCAGAACATAATGGCTAAGGTAAGAATGGAATACTAGATGAGGCTAGAGGAGTGTGGCAGAGTCAGATCATGAATGGCCTAAAGTTTAGAGTTTATCTACTGATTAAACAGCAATGATATCTGCCATTTGAAGGAAGAATATCGAGATAAGTTGTTTCAAGGAATGAAGTGTTTAATTTTAAAGTCATTTTGGTGATGTTTTATGCATATTAATCCTTAAAACTAGAGCTAGAAAAATTAAACACATTGGCAAAGACTTTTTTTTTTTTTTTTTTTTTTTGTACTGGGGATCAAACTCGCAACCTCACATTTGCCAGGCAGGCACTTATGCCACTGAGCTAAATCCCCAGCCCACAAAGCCAACTTTAGATCTTAAAAATGAATTGAAGCTTCTTATCATTAGTTATTCTGAGACCCGAATTGTAGAAACAGTCAAATTCATGAACCAGTATACCACTGGATTTTATGTTTCATTAGTGGTACTCATACCTGAAAGCAGAATACCACTTTAATCCCTATATTATTACAACTATGTTACGATCAAGAAGCCTTAACATTTCCTTTCTCCTTTGTCCTCACACTTTAGAAATATATCATACAGGTTGCTTTTGCTGCCATCATATCGCAGGTACTTGACCTCCAGGCACTCAAACAAAATGAGTTTATCATTGCACTTGAGGATAAGCTCCAACAGTACAAAGTAAACCAGTTCTCTTTTTCTAGAGAAGAAAGCAAAGCTTGTTTTTGTGCCTTCAAAAGCATTATATTACTGCTACAGGCCAACGATAAGAAAGGTGAAGGAAAGTTTAGCCTTATTACAAGGTATCTTTGGGGGGCTGGTATCAGCAATCGAACTCAAGGCCTTAGATCTGCCAGGCAAATTCTTATGCTGCTGAGCTGTATCTCCAGCCCAAGGTACACTTTTTAAAACAAGCATCACATGTAAAACTTCACAAGTCATTCAGATCAATACTGATAAATGAAAAGCTGTTTCTGAACAGTAGGGCCAGGTCACTAGTAGTTAAGGCTGGTGGGAGTAAGTGAACAACAGCAGTCACTTCATAGGGCCTGAGTCAAGTTGTGCTAAGGAACTCTTCCAGATACCTCGTATACGTTGACTGTTTTAATCCTCACTCACAACCAGGTGGAATGAATACTGTTATCCACATTACACAGGCAAAAATCCAGGATGAGTCACAAAATCAGTATTTACTTTTAGTAAGCAGAAGTCTTTAACATTGTTTCTGACTTCATTGACGTTTTTCACAGTGAATAAATAAGAGTTCTAAGAAGGTGCAAATGGCCTTCCAGTGCTTTTGTTTTTACTGTTAATCCCCAGAATTGACATAGGAAGACTTGACTGACTGAACAAAAAGCTGGTTAGGCTAGCAAACTTCGAGATACAGTTCCAAAGTTAGAGAACTAAAAACTCTGTGTGTGTGTGTGTGTGTGTGTGTGTGTGTGTGTGTGTGTGTGTATACACACATGTGCATACACTCACCTACATGGAAAAAGACTATATTTATTTTTAATTTCCAGAAATGTGTGCAGTTACTTCTAAAATGAGCTCACTGATGAAAAGATGCTAGAAATATTGTCTTAATTTTAGAAAGTAAAACCTGAATTAGAGATTATTTTTATTATTAGAACACTTACCCACCAAAGAAACTTGCTTTTTAATATTTAAAATCTACTGTTCTAGACATATAGAGTGTGCTATGAACATAACCAAAATCCCTACCTACATGGGACCTACATTGTATTGGGGGTGGAGAAGCAAGGAAAAAAAAGTACATATATATATATGTATATATGTATGTATGTGTGTGTTACATAATATTAGAAGGTAATAAAAATGTGGTGAAAATTATAGCAAAATAGTTCCTTAGTGAGAGTAGAGAAAAATATGAGGGGGCAGACATGAGGTACCTGAAAGAAAGTATTTTAGGAGAGGCCCCATGCCAGAAACACAGCTGCGTTTTCAAGGAGTGGCGCGGAGGATTTTGCTGGAGTGAGCAGAGGAAACAGCCAGGCAGCACGCACGGAAGGGTGTTGGAAACTACAGACTTTGGTCTTGGCTCCAAGATGAGGGTCTGTTGGACACATTTTTTTGTTTCTTTTTCAAATTCTTTTTTTTTAATTAGTAAATGTGTGTGGCACATAATGTTTATACTCCTTGTGGGGAGTTGATACATATACGTGATATAGCTCAGTTTCTTTTTTCATCCCTTTTCCCTTCCTTCCTTCTTCCCTCCTCCCTCCCATCTCTGATAAAGGGATAACCTTTTTTTTTCTTTACATATTACTGTGCATAATACTTACATTACCTGTGTGGAGTTGGTACACGTATATGACACATCTTAATTCCTTTTGTCATCCTTTGTCCCTCTTCTTGCCCCTCTCCATTTCTTGATCACCTTCCCCTCTGAAAAAGATCTGTCTACCTACTTACTACCTACTTAATTTTATTTTGCTCTTTAAAGTGAGGAATGTCAGAGGAGAGGCCCTGGGTTCAATCCCTGGCATCATAGAAGAAAATATAAGCATCTTTTTAATAGATAATTTCTGACCTTAGAAATAGTTGAATTAGTGATTATAGGCCATCCATTGTATACTTTGCCATTTAGTACTGGCAAGACAATAGCATAAGATGAATTGAAGATTCTCTTCACTGTCTTCAGATGGTTTATAAGCATGTATAAAACGTATTTTTTTCTAAAAATATAGAATACAGTGAACTTGTGCAAGTGTCAGTCATGTGAATGCCAGTCTCCTCCGTCTGAATGGTGTCATTTTATCTTTTTGTCTTCAGCATGTGGTAGCAGTGCTGAACATGAGCGTAATCAGTAGATGGTTATCATCTGAATGGATAGAAAAATGTCAAGGCTTATGAAAAAGTTTTCAGATATTCAAATACTTCTCAAGAAAGCTTCATTCTTGGGCTGGGGATTTATTAGCTCAGCGGCATAAGCACCTGCCTGGCAAGCATGAGATTGTGAGTTCAATCCCAGGTACCACCAAAAAAAAAAAAGAAAACGTCATTCTTACAGTAGTTTTTCACTGATATTTTTGTTTACAGATTTATAAGAAATAAATTAATGAGATATACTAATAGAAATTTTTGGGGCTGGGGATTTAGCTCAGCAGCATAATCACCTGCGTTGGAAGCAGGCAGTCATGAGTTCGATCCCTGGTACCGAAAAAAAAATGAAAAAGACAAAAAAAAAATTTTTTTGGCAATGTTTTAAGGACAGATGATCCACTTTCTCTGCTGGGGAACAGCCATTATGTTTTTTAAAATTTAAATCATTATTATAAAAAGGACGACTTCAAATTTTCAAGGATTTATATCTGAATAACACCTGAATTATCTCTAGTATAATTGGGCCAAGAGGGAAGAAGAAGCTAGACATCATAGTTTGTCACTAAAGCCTTAGTAAATTACTAACATCTGTTTATTTTCCAGTGCAAATATTGCGAGGTAAATAGTGCCACCAAGTGGTGGTATTAAGGAACTTTAATCATTTGGAAATAGCTAATCAGCTGTTTTCTTTTCAACAGTTTTCCATCCAATTATCTTTCTAACAACAATCAGACATCCGGGACTCCAGTGCCATCTGCTTTACCAAATGCAGTTGGTTCTTCTGCCATGGCTTCGCCCAGTGGTCTAGGAATCACCCCTGCTTCCAATGTCACTGACCTTAAGGAGTCGAGTGGCAGCAGGAAGGCCAGGGTACTCTATGACTATGATGCTGCAAATAGTACTGAGTTGTCCCTTCTGGCAGATGAGGTAAGTAATGTGGGTGTGCGAAGAGAAATGGGTCATGAATTGGCATACCTCCTAATAGCACAGCAGGATGCACACTCCTAAGTGCTTATTTAGAAAGAGTTTGCCTTGAATGTTTCATGGATTTCAGATGATTATGCTGATATTTTATGAAATACTAATTATTATTCTTTCATATAATTGAACATTGCAGAAATACTTAAAACTTTCAACCACTAAATAACTTGATATATAAACTCTGATAATGTTAAAAGTCCTTTGATAATGAATAGTTTAAACAAATTAAATATATACCTGGTTTGTTTGCTGTGTGTTTATTTTTAATATAATTAATGACTTGAAATATCTTACTTTGTAGGTGATCACTGTGTTCAGTGTCGTTGGAATGGATTCAGACTGGCTAATGGGGGAAAGGGGAAATCAGAAGGGCAAAGTGCCAATTACCTACTTAGAACTGCTTAATTAAATAGGTGGACTATGAAAAAATTACTCATCATGGCATCGTATTTATATATAAATAACTCTAAAGAAAGCAGGTTTAAGTATCTTCTATGGTAATGTCCTAAGAGACTGGAAAACAAAAACAAAAACCCAGCCATCAGAAACCAGCCCTTCTGCCAATAAAGTTGCATGGTAAATATTTCACTAAGAGTTTGTTAGCGCTTTCATGCCAAGAATGTTTCTTACAAAATTCTCTTTCTACTGAGATTTCACTAATAAGCTGCTTCTACTTTTGAGCCCCAACTTAAAGCAGAAGAACTGTTTTCTACTGAATTTTTCATTAACTACAAGTTTTTTCTTTTATGTAAAATAAATTTATCGTGAATTAATATCAATGACTCATTTATTAGGTATAAGTAATAGCCAAAGAATAAAGTTAAAATTTGATTTCAACTTTTGGTTTAAAAATGAATTGTAGGATATAAATCTCCTTTGTGAAGAATGTTTTTTTAATGCATCCATGAACAGAAATGCAGCTATATCATTTATACCTTGTCTAGCAGGAATCAGATGACTTCGAGACTATGTTTTTTTAATAGGTGTTTTTTAGCTTTTTGTTTTATGATTTTTATATTTTTTTAATTTTTGAGATGAGTCTCACTCTGTAGTCCAGGCTGGACTTGAACTCACTGTGTAGTCCAGGCTGGCCTCAAACTCAGCAGTCTTCCTGCCTCAGCCCCCCAAGTGCTATAATTACAGATGTGTGCCACTATGCCCAGCTGCTTTTTGTTTTTTGGGTTTTTGGGTTTTTGGACAGAGGATCTCGCTATGTCGTGTAGGCTGGCCTCTTAACTCACTTACACAGTCCAGGCTTGCCTTGAACTCCTCTTTGCCTCCCAAGTGCTGGGATTACAGGATGCACAACCGTGGCGTGCCCAGATGTTTTATTTTTAAAACACTACTGAATCTTTTTTTTAATGTGAGAATAGCTAGCTCTTAAAAGTGTTACTATATTTCCCTGATACAATTGTATTTAAGATTCTAAAATATCTGGAACAAATTCAGTGCATTCAGATTATTAATACATAATCAAAATTTGATTCATTAAGAACATACTGCCGCACAGTAAAGAGGATTTGTTCTTGAACAACCCATCTATATAAAAATATGAATTAATGAAACTATATTATCAGTTATATACAAGCAAACTTGGTTGGTTACTCTAGGCTTATTAGTAAAGCTTTGAAAATGTGTTAATGAATATAGGCATCATGATTAGGATCTCTGTTTATGAAGCACACAGTATTATTAGTAGCAGATTCAAAGCTAGAAAACTGCTATTTGGGCCAGTGCCGTGAGTCAGCAGTTGTTATAAATCAGCAGATTGATGATTTTGTTTTATCTTAGGACTTCTGTTCTCCTTTATCCAACAGATGCTTGTTAAGAGTCAGACACTATGTTGATGACTGGGGCTGATACCATAAGCAAGGTGCCCCTGACAGAGCTTAACGGCCAATAGAGGATGCAGAAAAATAAGCTGTTGTCCTGTAACAGAGTTAGTGTTATGAAGGAAATAAAGGGCATCACCTAACGTGGAGGAGTAGAATGGTTTGGGATGGAAGTGTTCTGGATACAAGGAAAAAGATGCGCCAGGCCGAGAGATGAGAGCATCAGTAATTCAGTCTGACTTAAACATGAAGTCAAAGTGTGTTTCAGTTTTTCAGGGAATGTCTATCAAAATGATTTTTTCAGTATTTTTAAAAAATTAATATTTAAGCACAGCTTTTAAATAATGCCTTTTTTGTTAAGCACTCCTAATAAGAGCTTGGTAAACATGTTGTTAATTTTTAGTTCAGTGTCCCAACTTTAACTGGAGTTGTTACGCTTTATTTCAGTTATGCTATAAGACATCCTCTGAATTTTGTAGTTTTACAAGACAATTTCACTCCCCGTAAACTGCCCATATTTCACGAACCTCAAAAGCAGCCCAAGCTGATAAGTTTTCAATAAAACTAAGCTAGTAAAGTGGGGTTTTTGTTTGTTTTCCCCCTTCAAAGTACATTTTATAGTCTAGAATACCTGCTACCTTGTAAGTTTAGATGTAGGCTTTGAAAGATCGTAACAGAAATTCCTGTCAACTTAAACAGCAACTTTAAATTAGGTTTATGGGAAGTATGTTAATAAAGGGAAAAGAGTGTGGTTGAACTAACGGTCCGGGTATCGTATCCAGCTGTCCTCACATACTCTTGGAGAGTCGGATACACCATTCCAATGACATGCTGTTTGCCTGTCATAAGATGGAAATAGTTTTTCCGTCATGGATTGTTATGAGATAATAAAGCAAATGTCATATTAGGTGCTTTTTAGGGAAAATTTTCACACATAGTAAACATATTCCCTCTAAATGTGTTTCCCCTTATTAGCCTGGACCTCTCCAGACTATGGCTTTGTCCATGGCTGGGTATAAGAGAGGCCTCTTTTACATCCACGCTTCACTCCCTGTGAATTCCACTCTCCAGCGTCTTTAAATCAGACCCAGATCTGGGTTTAACCTCACCACGTCAGCATGCATTCTTTATCAGAACCTTCTACTTTCCACCAGGTAAATGTTGATTGAAGGCTTCTATACATTATTAAGGTACTATAATGTTAATAGGTTCAGAGATTTCTTGTGCCTTTGTCTTGTACAAATCCACTATGATATGTAGGTTGTTCTTAAGATTGTTGTTTATTTCAATAGAGTTTTGTTTGGTTAGATAGGATCATGGTTGTGGTGGTGGTTTTATTTTGGTTTTGGCTTATTTTAAAGTCATAAGGTTTAATTTTACTCAGGTACTGGTCCAAAAAGGTTATTATGCGTGGAAGAGAAAAGTTTGGGAAACCTGTTTTATGGTGCCACCCAGAATTAATTAAACCCTGTGCCCGGCACTTCACCCAAAAGTACAGTAACATGTGAGGATGTACATATGAATAAAATAATAAAGTGGGAAGTACTTTTTAAGTTCTTGTATCAACAAAGAGTCAGTGATTGGATTGTATTTACGTTTATCCTTAATCAGATCCTTAAGGTCACAGTGTTACAAAGTTTCTTATGGTGCTAATAAAAAGAATTCATACTATGGGAAATGAGGTCCCAAAAATGGGAAGGTGCCTCACTTGGGACAGATGGAAGCAAGAAACCTGGGGCCAGGATCCTCAGTGGGCTATAGCACACTCTCCTGGTCTATTATCCTTCACCAGAAAAGGAGCTGGTGCTGGGAAGAAATTTCTGAGATAAACTGGAGAGTAGAGAGGATGGTGAAGGTCAAGAAACAGGCCTGTTAACACAGGGAAACCCAGTTTACCTTTATAGTTCCTCAGCAGGATTCCTGAAAAAGTCCCTTCCCTCTCCTGAATCCCTGCAATTCTGGATAATATTTCCCTAGTTGCACTTCAGGCCTGAGTGAGGAGCTGTAGTGGAGAAAAGGTCTCATGATCAGTTTTGTGTCAACATCTCTGGATGATCAAGTGCTCCTGGCTCATGGAGAGAGTCATAGCAGGGGAGGGAATTCCTCAGTCTCACCTGCCCCTTCTCCCGGGTCATCCTCATTAGAAAGTCCACCTGGTAAAGCAGTAGCCATCAAGAATTTGAAACCCCAGATATTTACACTGCCTGGAAGGTTGTTGAAAACGCTAATACCATTTTTGAGTATTTGTTCTTTATTTGTACCTGCATTTTTTCTTCAAGGGCCTCTAGAACTGGTCTTTGTTCTTCATGTGATAGCTCTTTAAATGTCTAAAACAGAACTCTTCTTTACTGTGTTCTAACACAAATAATTGTAATTATAATTATTTTTGTAATTTATTTGTTTGGTAACGTCTGTTACTCTAGAATGTAGGCTTCCTGAGATACAGGCTATAATTGTTTGATCGCAAATTCCCAAATCTTAACACAAGACCTAGCTCATGATATGTACTCATTAAATATTTGTCCAGTGAAGGAAAAGAACACAAATTCCTAAGCCTTCCCCAGGACCTACTGAATGTAGCTCTGGGTGGGCCAAGCAGGCTGTAGTAAAAACCCGTTTGAGTGACTCTGCTGCAGTCTAAAGTTTGAGCATCACTGCAGAGTAACAACTTGCCTTTCACTTTCAAGCCTACAGTCTGACATTGCTTGAAATTCCTGCCTTAAGTAATTTACAACATTACCCTCAAGAGGAGCCTACTGCCTGCTTGCTTCCTACAAGTGGGTATGAAGGTATAAGGGTGCGTTTAGTGTCGGTGGAGGATTGCTTAGCATCCAGGCTGCTGTGGAAGGAGCCTAGGCACACGGGGCCTTCGGTCCTAGGAAGGACATTTCCACTCAATGCAGTGCCTTTTCACTGGTGACTAACGTCAGACACCCTGACAGCTGTGAGAGCAGTATTTGACTCACATGTACATCCCTGTGCCTCAGGTTGCTGAGCTCTGATCTTATTCTTACTTTAAAAGAAACTTTTTTAAGAATTATTAATGCTTTTATTATAAGTCATAGCCATGTTTTAAAAATATAGTTTAAAAAATTACCTACAACTTTACCATCCAGGGAAAACCACTGTAATTTAGCTATATGGTCTTCCAGACTCTTCTGTGCATTTATACATTTTTTACATGGGATCAAATTGTACGTGCTGTTTTGTAACTTTTTCAGTCAACAGTACCATGAGTATCTTACTGTGTTGTATGTATTTATACATCTTTTTAAATGGCTGCATGATATTTCATCATTATGTGCCATCTTTTATTAAACTACTGTTGAATTTTTAGGTTTCCAATTTTTCACTAATAAACTGCTTTTAAAAACATTGTGTTGCTACTTTGTATTATGTTCCTAATTTTATAAGATGAATACTTTCAAGTGGAATTACTAGAAATTATGCTAGCTTTTTAAAGCTTTTGTTACTTTTTAGCAACTGGCTTTTTTAATTAGCAGTACAAGGACTTGCAGGGGGCTTGGTTTTTGTTTTTGATTTGAAGGGCTTTCAACTAAATATTTTTTGAGTTTAAAAGTAAATGGGTAAAATGTAGAAAAAATAAAAAGACCAGTCAGTGTTTCTGACATCACACCATTTGTTCTCCCTTCTGTCATGGATTGTGTGATACTTCTGGAAGCGTTTATGGTACACATCCCTCTTGTTTCTGTTCAATGTCCTGAAAGCATTACCACCTTTCTGAGTTGTGTTGAGGTCATAGGAGAGCCATTCACCAGAGTGCGGTCTTCTGGTGGTTTTGGTGCAGCCTGGCTGCAAATGCTTTTAGAAACCATGGCAGTTATGGGAAAGTGGGCCTTTAGAAGGCAGGCAGAGCACTGGCTATCCCATGCCTTGTGTCATGTGCCATGTCCCTGGCTTTGTGTCAGTACTGTAGACCTCCAAAGCCTGCTAGCTCATCAATAGAATGAAAATAAGCCCACCTGATAGAATTGAAGGAATTATCTGTATCAAAATAGCGGACACGTAGTATATAATAGCTTACTAGGATTCCCAAGTAAGTATAGTACAGCAGTTGATATTGTCAGTCTGTGTGGAGTAAATAAAATCTTTGAAAACCATCACAATAAATGGACATTGCTTAGTTCCTCGTTTTTATACCTAGGTTTTTGAGTTATGTTACCACATACTCAGCGTTTAGTGCAAGCTTTCAACATTACCAAATCTTAACAGTGATGCATCAAGTAGTAACCATATTTTTAAGTGGTAAGGGGGCGTTCAGCCAGGCCAAACATCCCGTCTGATAGAAACTTCACACCGTTGGCCCACTGGCAGTCAGGACCTCTACCTGTGAGCAGTCATTTTTTTTTTTTTTTTTTTTTTTTTGGTACCGGTGATGGAACTCATGACCACGTGCTTGCAAGGCAGGCGCTTACGCCACTGAGGTAAGTCCCTGGCACCAAGCAGAGTAATTTTTATTAGCTAAGTTCCAATGTCTCTCCAGGAATGGAGAACATAGAATTGATTTGCCCATACTGGAGACATTTATTTAGAGAAATATAGTAGGTGATTTGCAACATCTCCAGAAAGGTAAGTCCTAAAATCACAGCTGCAATCAGCAGACAGACCATGTTAACATTTGGGTGAGCACCAATCAGTGTAAGTTAGCATGGGGTTTGTTAATTATGACTTCAGCTACTCAGCCAATAAAGAGTGAATACTAAGCTAATTTAGGGGGCTGTGAGGAGGGGTATACAGCAGTTTTCAGGTTTATGAAAACAAGACAGCTGACTGATTAAAATGAGGCTATAACTAAAGCAACTTCTCTGAAAGCCTGATACACAAGGGTTTAGGGCACATGTTTCTGCCCAGTCTGATTCTAGTTTTCTGATGCTAGTCAATCTCAGGTAGTTCCTAAGCACTTTGGAGCCTACTGGCTCATTTGTCAAGAAAGGTTAAACATCCCTTTGGGCAGAACTGTTTATACACACAAGTGAGCGTTTATTGCCCTAACTTACAGTGACTTGCTAAAGGGAGCTGAGCTCAGAGATGGCTTTTGTGTCCCCTACCTTCATACACCTGAGATCAGCAAGTCCCATCACTGCTTGCAGCATTCTAGTTTTTACAGATTGATTAATAATTCAGTTTTGGTGTACTTATGTGTATTTTCCCTAAGAAGTAGTGACCCTTTTGAGTATCAGTATGATAAACCTACTTTAAACCACACAATCTATTATTTCCCATTGACTGGTTAACTTTACAGTGCTCATTGCTAAAGTGCTTTACAGAAGCAGTGATTTATTAGTGTGAAGTTTTGCTGGTTATATTTACACAAGTTTACAATCAGTCACCTCAGTTAATTTAGGGTTGCATTGTTTCCATTAATAACCTTTTCTATATAGATACCCCCTAAAAGGAGTTGTTTCCTTTTTCCATTTTACCCTTTTCTCCCCATTTCTGTACCTATTCTTTCCCTGCTTTCCAAAAATATTTGCCAGAAAACAGTATGAAGGTAAATGCACAAAGGCAAAGGGTAGGATAATTGAATATGAATAGGACGTTCTGCTCAGTTGTTACACATGAATAACAAATCTGACCCAGTCTGTCTCCTAGGAATAAGCCAAACAAAGAAGCGTGTTCAAACTTCCAATTGACCATTCCCAGATACAAACGTGCTGGTTGCTCAGGAGACAGCCACTCACGCTCTCTGAAGAGGGCACTGAGGATACCTTCCAAGCACCAAAGGCAGAGTTAAGAGGCCAGCTTCCTTGCCCTCACTCATGAATTACATTTTATGTGAATGTTTCATTGAAACTTCATCAAACTTGGAATATAAACAAGCATAAAATGATTCACACTGACACTGAAGTGCGGTGGTTCTGAGCCTTCTGTCAGATCATTGTGAACTGGAACATTTCTTCCCCATGCGGATTTCTGAGACTCTCCAGGGACTCAAGTCCACGAGTCAACTTCTCCCTTCCATCAAGGTATCTCATACCTCCTAGCCTGTTTGCTGGCCCTGGACCTCACACACACACACCCCAGTGCTACACATAACCTGCTGTGCCTGTTCACTGTGCCTCAGTCATGGAGGACAGAGCACCACAGCCTGCTGAGAGCCACTTCGTCCTCACCTAGTATGTTCAGGGCATCTCAGCATAGCTCGCTAAGCACAAGAGGACCTTAAAACTTATACACACAGCCAATCTTCCCAGGAGTAAACCCTCACTAGGATGTCTGTGAAGTTTCACTGATGGCCACTGCAGACCTCACACTAGTGTTTCCCTTTGTCCCATAGCCTTTGGTGACAGGAGTTGCTCATTAGTCCACTTCTGTTCTTATGAATGAGTCCCTCTTAGAGACATTACCCTGTCCATCACTGGGGCTTTGATTGGGACCCTCTCACAACACATGTTTAAGTTTGGGGAGTCAAAGATTCCTACCCTATTTCGAGGGTCCTATTGCTGTTGCTATCAAACGTTACTATTCTGTCCAGATAGAATGTCTTACTGCAAAACCACCTCGCACAGAAATCAAGTCTATAGACTTTGGAATCGAGCAAAATTTTCAAGTTCTTGTTTCTACCACTTACTAGCTGAGTGTTGGGAAGTTTACATAATCTCAATTCCTACTTTTTAATCTATGAAATAGAGATTGAAATGCCTATCTTATAGGTTTATAGCAAACAGTTCTCAAAACATGGTTCCCCAGCCAGCATTAGCAGCATCACCTAGAAATGTATTAGAAATACAAGTTCATGGGTACCTATTAAATCAGAAATCCTGGGGTTAGGGCAGAGCAAAAGATAAACAAGCCCTTGGGTGATCTGATGCATGCAGAAATGGGTGAAGCTACCAGTGGTGAAGATTATAAGAAACATTTAACATAAGGAATTGACTTAGGAACTAGTGTGTAGTAAACACAATTCCTAGCTACTATTATTATCATTACTGGAAATTCTAAAGTAAAGACACTTTTCAAGCAAAATTCTCATAACAGCTTTTCATAACAGTTTGGCAGCTAAAGACTTGAGGTTAAGATCTCTGATGAATATATATATATGTGTGTATATATATATATATATATATATATATGAATACAAATTCCTATACTGTACTTAGTCATGTAGAAAATGAGTGGAAATTCTTTTTACCAGATATTAACTGAAATATGTATACAAAGTCACTCCACCTCTGCAAAAAGAAGTATTAGGAAAGGGCCATGATTTTTCTCAGAGTTCAAAATCTGCTTGTATACATAAAAAGGGAATGACTGCAGTTAGGATATTCTACATCATAACCAGGGTCATTTTGGTCTGAAACTCTTCAAAATACATCTTGCCAATTATATGGTGTGGTTATAAAACAGTTTCCACCACGCATTCATAAAATGGGTAACTTTATTACATGCACCTTCCTGGTGAATGCCTCAAAATAAATGTGTTTCATAATGTAACCCTAGGAAACCAAATGAATTTAACTTCCACAGAGAGTGGTTGGATATAAACCAAATTACATGTTATAGGAGGCTAAAATAATTATGGTTTTAGAATAGTTCACCATAATCATTCTTTCTGAATTTTTACACAGCAAGTCCAGTAGTAATTAAATTTGTGACAAATTATTCAGTTAACCTCTTAGAACTACAGATTTCTTAGCTATAAAGTAAAAATATTAAACCAGATGATCTCTAAGGTCCCTCTAGCTCTTGAATGCTAGCTACCATGTGCTTAAAAAGCCAGTTGTTCATGTTTTAATAGCTAATGTTAAACCCCAAATTATTAATGATCTTTCTTGCCATGCACAATTCTCCTGAAGGCGTTTGATGGGATATTTTCTGTGTGATTTATTTTACAGTGCGGAGCTCCTCCATTTTAATTTTCTAGTAAAGGCTTAATGACAGCTTGTGAGCAATTCCTTTGGAAATTTTTTCTACCTGAACTGACTTAGGCCCCATCTCAGAGGAAAGGACCCACGTTAGGCTCAGACTTTCTAGTTAGTTCTAACGAGTGTATGTGAACCATCACACTGATCATTTAGGGATTATTGGATTTTTATATCCTCGTAGAAAATACTAACATTTCCTAATGTTACTAGCATTGCTAACATTTATTGATTTGTTATTTATGTATATTCCCTTCTTTAAACCTAGTGAGAAAGTGTATTTGCTCCCATTTTACAGATGAGAAAACAGAGCTAAGAGAGCCACTCCACCAAAAAGTGGTAAAACTAGGTCTTATTGCTTGTCTTACCAGCAGCAAAGCCTAAATTCTTCATCCATGTGTAATACACACACCCATTTTTTGATATGCGTCCCCAAATATGGTCACTGACCTTTTACTTTCTGGGTAACTTTTTTGGCATGTGTTATTATTT